GATGCGAGCGCTGCTTCGCTGAGCGCTCCTCGGCGCACGGCCGCGTCGCCCCAGTCACGAGAAGCTCTCCGCCTCCCCTAGGTCTCCCTGGAGCGGCAGCCCAAAAGGGCCACGCCGGGCCCCGAAAGGCCCAGCCTGAACAGGCCAGCAAGCCCCCCCCCAAAAAAAAGAACAGCCCCCAGGCCCGACAGCCCAAGGAGACACGGATAGGCGGGGAGGATCTCGAGGCTCCTCAAGCCTAAAGGACCCCAGTGTGCGAAGACCCGCACTCTTGGGTCCCCACCTCGGCGTTCAGCTCCTCGGAGCTGCTGCCGAAGTGCTTCTTGAAGATGTTGAAGAACTCCTGGATCGCGGCACCATGTTCCTCGACCCACTCCTGGAGCTCCCCCTAGGGGGCCGATTCCAGGAGGAAGCCCATCAGGCCATCATCCTTGAGAATCCTGATGCTGCCCTCCTGCTCCTCCTCCTTCTCCAGTACGGCTGGCATTTCAGGCAGCACCAACATCGTCTCCTTCTCCTACATCTTCTCCTTCAGCGGAAAGGCTGGCACTGCGGGCAGCACCTTCACTCCTTCTTCTCCTGCATCACCTTTTTGCCATGGCCTGGCACTGATGACAGCACCCCAGGCTCTCCGCCTCATCCTTCTTCTTCGTCTTGTCGATGCCGCCCAGGGTCGCCACGACCTTGTTCGTGTCGAGCCTGCCCTGCGCCATCAGCTCCTGGACGTCGTCTGGCACTGTGATCAGCATCTTCAACGTGTCCTTCTGCTTCTCCTCCTCCATCGTAGGAAACGCTGGCACCTCGGGCAGCACCATGGCGTGTTCCTTCTTCTCCATCTTCTCCTCCAGAAATGCTGGCACTGCTGGCAGCACCAAGAGCTTCTCCTTCTTCCCCTGCTTCTCCTTCTTGTCATGGCCTGGCACTGCTGGCAGCACCCCTTGCTTCTCCTCCCGCTCCTTCTTCTCCTTCTTGTCGACGATGCCGCCAAGCGTCTCGACGATCATGTCGTTGTCGAGCCTCTAAAGCGCCATCCTCTGGTCACGAGCCCTGGCCTCCTTCGCGAACGTCTCGCGGTTGAGGGCGACAGCTCCGACCACATCTCTTTCTTGGTGTACTCCTCATCGAAGCTCTCCTCCTCCTCCTCCTCCTCCTCCTCCTCCTCCTCTCCGATGTCGTGCCACTCCGTGACGGAGCAGCCCATGTACCGGACGCCCTTGCTCTTCAACACGTCGTAGTATTGGAGGTGTTGCGCCTCGATGTTGCTCAGACGCAACTCTAGTCCACCAGGCGTGTTTCTTTGGCCTCAGTATTGCTCTTCTTCTCCTTATGATCCTTGTGTCCTTCTTCTCCTTCTTCTCCCTCTCCTTCCCACGGCTGTTCACGTTGGCCCCCAACCAGGCAGTGGGAGGCTCCTCCAGGTCGCTCCGGGTGTCCACCATCCCGCCCGCACGCCTCCTTCTGCTCCTCGAGCGCGTCCTGGCAGCACTCGGAGCTGAGGGCGAAGCCTGGGGCGGTGACCACGACCCTGGGGGAGGCGACGGGGGCGCCGCCACCTTGGCCGACCCGATGTCCTCGATCGCCATCAACGGGGCCTGGGTCGGCCTGACCGCCAGCGAGGTCGACTGCGGCCTGGCCTTGGCGGGGACGATCGCCACCACCGCCGCAGCCACCGCCGCCGAGACTGATGCGGCTGTGGCTGCCTCCACCATGTCGAGGGCCCTGACGTCCGTGCCAGAGGAGGACGCACTCGTGGTCCTCGACCTCCACCTCGTCGCCCGCCGCCGAGCTGTCGCGCCATGGCATGGAGACCCCTGGCTGGCTCTCGCGAGCTGCGCCCCTTTCAAGTGCGCTCGCGAGAACCCCCCTCCTGGGCACCAGGGGGCCGAAAGCGGCTAGGAGGAGGAGGAGGAGGAGGAGGAGGAGGAAGAGGAGGAGGAGGAGGAGGAGGTGGAGGAGGTGGAGCAGGAGGAGGAGGAGGAGGAGGAGGTGGAGGAGGAGGAGGTGGAGGAGGAGGAGGAGGAGAGGAGAAGGAGGCGAGGAGGAGGAGGAGAAGGAGGAGGTAAGGAGGAGGATGAGGAGGAGGAGGAGGAGGAGGAGGCGGAGGAGGGGGAGGCGAGGAGAGAAGAGGCGGGGGGAGGAGGAGGAGGAGGAGGCGGAAGAGGAGGAGCAGGAGGAGAGGAGGCAGCGGAGGAGGATGGAGGAGGAGGAGAGGAGGAGGCGAGGTAGGAGGAGGAAGAGGAGGGGAGGAGAGGAGGAGGAGGAGGAGGAGGAGGAGAGGAGGAGGAAGAAGGGAAGGGGGAGGAGAGGAGGAAGGAGGAGGAGGAGGAGGAGGAGGAGGAGGCGGAGGCGGAGGAGGTAGAGGAGGAGGAGAGGAGGAGGAGAGAGGAGAGGAGGAGGAGGCGGAGGAGGAGCCGAGGAGGAGGAGGAGGAGGAGGAGGGAGGAGGAGGAGGAGGAGGAGGAGGAGGCAGGGGGGGGAGGAGGAGGAGGCAGGAGGGAGGAGGAGGAGGAGGAGGAGGAGGAGGAGGGAGGAGGAGGAGGAAGGAGAAGAACATTCGCGAGAGGCGATGGTAGAGGAGGAGTAGGAGGAGAGGAGGAGGAGAAGGGGAAGGGGCAGGAGGAGGAGGAGGAGGAGGAGGAGGGCATGTTCGGCCCTCTCCGCCGAACATGCCCTCTGCCAGAGCGGGCCAACCGCTTGAGCAGTGGTGCAGCACTCTGTTTTCTCTCCTGCACAAGGGAAGCCCTCGTGCCACGTTCGAGACTTCCTTGCGGCGGCACGTATCAAACAAGAACAGAGATCTAGGAGCGCACGTGGAAACCGACGATCCACTTGCAGCATGGAGGAGGAGGCGGAGGAGGAGGAGGAGGCGGAGGAGGAGGAGAAGATGGAGGAGGAGGGGGGGAAGAGGAGGGGGAGATGGAGGGGGAGCCGGGCTGTGGGCGCTGGCCGCCACCTAGGAGCATCTGCCAGCGCCGCAGGGCGCATGCGCTCGCAGAGCTCGTAATGCCGGGCCTGACCGCCTGGAGCTTCGGAGCGTCGCGTGTCTCACCCATCACGCTCGTTGACAACACGTAAGATTGATCCTTCGCAGGAATGTTCTTTGGTGCGGGCCCAATGGGGCCCCCCGATCGTTGGACGCGATGCGGTAGCAGCGGCCTTCGCGCTTTTGCTTGGTTCCCCCGCGGTCTCCAGAAAGCCGCGTTCCAAAGGTCACTCTTACCCGGGGCCACTCTTGCGTGTAGTCGAGCTTGGATGCCGCAGTTCTTCGGCAGGATGAGTTCCAACGGCGTGGACCAAAGTAGTATCCCACAGCAGGAGGAGGCGGAGGAGGTGGAGGAGGAGGAGGAGGTGGCTGGGGAGGAGAAGGAGGAGGAGGAGGAGGTGGCTGGGGAGGAGGAGGAGGAGGAGGAGGAGGAGGAGGAGGAGGAGGAGGCCACGTCCTGGAGCTTCCTAGTGTCACGTGTCTGTCCCACCGCGCCCGATTGGTGCAGCTCCTCGGCAGTAGCAGTTCTAACGGCTTGGCCAGACCGCATCTGGGGACGTCCTGGAGCGTCGGAAGCTAGGAAAGTGGAGAAGCCCAACACATCGAGAGGCCAACGGAAAATCACCGAATTTGGCCTCTCGGGGCCCTCTTGGCAAGGCTCTTGGGTCCTTGTTAGGGGCGTCTCGAAGGGGCTTTTTGGGCCGTCTTGGGGCCATCTTGGGCGTCTTGGACCAATCGTGCGGCGATTCAATGCACCCTTGAACCGTCTGGGCGGCCTCTTGGGGCCGTCTTGGCCCGTCTTAGGCCCCTCGTAGCCCCTGGAGAAGTCATGCGATTTTTGTCGGGAGAGCCCGGGGGCGTGCGGGGAGCCTCAAGAGATCTGTGCATTCGGGGTCTGAGCCTTTTACAGAATCCGCAGGTTTGAGGACTGAGGCGTAAAGGAATAGGCCCGGGCTCCAGGACCGGAGGGCCTGCGGACCTGAAAAAAAGAAGGCCTCCTTGCCGCCCGCCTGACAGGCTTCCCCTGGCCAGCCCCTCGCCTTGCCGCGGCGGCCCCCCTTGGCTTACTTCGCTGAAGTCGGGCCCGTCCCTCTACAGGAGGAATATCCAAACATAGACAAAAAATAGTCTGGGTACGATTTCTGTTACAACTGATCAACTGTTTTGTGTATATATTTATATATGGTTGGATTGTTTATCCAAAATCCCCCTGTAGGGGGACATGCCCGACCTAAATTTAGGCCTACGCGCCACCGGCGCGCCGGCGGAGGCCAAGCCGGGCTTCGGCCCAGCACGCTTGCCTCCTTTGCAGCTTTCACCCGAGGACACTCCAACTCGTGCCTCAGGCCACTGTGGCGGCTTCGATATCAAAGGCTAAGTCGGGCCTGTCCCTCTACAGGGGGGATAGTAGAAAATAGTAGAAGAATAGTTCGGGGACGATTCTTTTGCAATGTTTGGGTTATGTTTGAATATTGCGAAGGCCTTACGGCTGGTGCCGCCGACCCTGAATGGCGACGACGACGACGACGACGACGAGCGCTCTTGTGGGCCTCTTGGGGGTAGTTTGTGGGCCTCTTGGGAAGCTCTTAGGGGCCGCTTGGAAGCCTCGTGGGGGCCTCTTGGGGCTTCCTGGGGGTCTCTTGGAGGGGGCCTGGGACGTCTTGGAGGCTTCTTGGACGGTCTTGGGGCCATCTTGGGCGTTTTCGGCCGATCTTTGGGCGACTCGGGGCCCTCTTGGGCCGTCTCGGGGGCCATCTGGGGCCCTCGGACCTCATTTGGAGTGTTTTCGATGTTTCTAGGCCGCCCGAGGAAAAACTAATCTGCCCCCCCACCCCCCCCGGGACCCACCCCAGGAC